TCGTTTATTCACAAATTACCCTCTGGAAAATCCTAAATTGTGGAATAGTTTGGCCATTAAAATGCTTTTTTATTAGATTTCTAGCGAGAAGTGTATATTGTATTTTTATAATCTACGTCCAGTGGATGTGTAGGATCTACAGTTTGATAGATATACGAAGATAATTTGAGGTCTCGCCAGGAGAACGTGTACTGTATATGGGGCAGCTTCCATGTAAAGTTAGCATGGGTGAAAACAGTATTGCCGGTCTCGAAGTTTTCATAATAAAACCGGAAGTATTCCCCACACTGTCAAATGATCTCCATTACTCATCCACTTAAAAACATCAGTTTATCCTTGTTAATTACACAATATTGATTGGTTTAAATTGTGTACAATGCTTTTGTGTTTTTAACCTTCGATTCGGAGAAACAAATATTTTTTTCGGAGTTTAGACACTACAGAGTTTCCGAAGACACTACACTACTCAGAATCCCCAGCTATCGTTTGGGACTACAACATCCGCCTTGCTTTACAAACCCCAGGATTAGCCCTCAAGCTCTGTGATTGGATGTTGGAGTGGCAGTGCGACAAGGTTACGCCGAATGTCAAACAGCTCTTTGAAATGGAATGGAACCACGCCAGACTATCCAAAACTGGACTTGGACGTGTCCAGCCCAGCCCTCCCCCACATAATTACACATGCTGGCTATTGTGTGTTTCGCAATATGTTCTATGGCACGTCTCTACTGGGAATTGTAGTTTTATAAGACGTTTTCGTATTTCCCACAATTAGAAGTTGCCAGTATTAAACTGTATACATCCCTGGAGGTTTAGGGGATACGAAACACATTGGTGTTATCAAATTTAAAACATATAATTAATACATGGGTGAAAATTGCTTGTGCCCATAATGGGCAGCATTTATATACCCACATGACAGCTAAGGTCAGAAGAGCTTTATTTAACAGCTGGTCTTATGTCTGTGACCCCTCCTGTTGTTAATTGATAAGCCTGAAACATGCACTTGTCAAGGTTTAGATGCACATTTAGCAAATATGGCCTTAGCCATCGATCATCTTAAGATAAGATAGTTTATTGATCCCAATTTGGGAAATGTTTTTGTTACAGCAGCATGTACTACTTTGTTCTACTCCACTACAATTCAGAGGTCAACCTGGTATTTTTACTCTACTACATTTATTTTTGTTACTTTGCAGATTCTGATTAATGATGTGAAATATAAACAACCCTTAAATCAGACTTTCGTTACACCTGAGTAAAATTCAGCCTTATCAGTTTGTCTGTTTTGCACATCCACCTGTTAATATCTTTGGACGTCCTGCACTAAACTGTTTTATTGTAGAGATCACTACAGTATCTTCTTGATATTTTCTATTCTATATTTCTTCATTGACCCCAATTTTGTATGTAGGCTACTCTTAATATTTAAATGTTTTCATAAAAATTAAACGTATTCAACAACTAAATTCAATAACGTGCTTTAACCACTAGGAGGTACGGTTTAGACCAGTGGTCAAGTTAATAAAACATAATAATATCAAACATAATATGACTATTCACTTTATTGTGAAATTAAAACAGAACGGTAAAGGAAAATACAGTTTCAGTCTCTCAATGTGAAGCTTATGCATTGTACCATAAACTTTTATAGACCTGTAACAGTCATGAGGAGTTGGAAAGGTAGTTCAGAAAATCAGTAATATCTTTAAAAACTACAAAAAAAATCCCTTTCTATCAGCTGTGCACCGTTATGGTGTAAATACAGACTATCTACTTATTGGATAAAATATAAAAGTCAGCCGAATTAGTGTTGATACTGCAAGGAGACGTATTGTGTGAAAATAAATGGAAGATGTTGTTTAATTGTTGATATTTTATGGTCCACGTCACGTATTCAGTTTTGGCGGCATCTCTTCCAGTTTGTCAAAAGGTCTTCTGATCAGGGCTCTATAAATACATATCTACGGCAGATATGTAATATTTAATGCAGCCGAACCGTGTATTACAATGCCGTTATGTGACGACTTTCAAAGAGAAAAGCAAGAACACTCGGAATAAAGTATTATTTTTTTTTTAAAAATGTTTTCCGATTTCATATCACATAAACACCATATCCCGACGTGCATTGCGGCGTGATTTTAGCCTATCAAAACCTCTGAAAAAAGAAATGTGTCTCTCAGAATCGAAAGAGAAAACCCTATGGGAAAAACACAAAAGCATTGTACACAATTTAAACCAATTAATGTCGTATAATTAACTAGGATAAACTGATGTTTTTTAGTGGATGAGTACTGCAGATATCACTGTTAAATCATTTGATCATTGGTTTTATTATGAAAACGTCGAGACCGGAAATACTGTTTTCAACCCGTAACTTTACATGGAAGCTTGCCGCATATACACGTTCTCCTGACGAAACCTCAAATCATCTTCGTAATATCTATCAAACTATAGATCCTACATAACGACTGGACGTGGATTCTAAAAGTACAATATATACTTCTCGCTAGAAATCTAATCATAAAGCGTTTTAATGGCCAAACTATCCTACAATTTAGGATTTTACAGAGAGGGTTATTTGTGAATAAACGACCATCTGTAACGTTTGCATTCAACGGGAGCACTAGAGGCCGAGAACTTTAAAACGTAATTATAGGTCGTATTAAGCGCTTGAAGAAACAACATATTTGGTCGTAATAAGGGCTTAAACAATCGACCCATTTGGTCGTATGAGTTGGAGGACTTGTTGGTTTTTCTTTGAGGATAGCCGCCATAGCACTGAGAGCAGCCGCTTCAGCCTCCGCCTTGATACATGCAGACGAGTTGGATGGCATTTTGGACCTCTGACTGGAGCGGCCAGCTGATGTGCATGTTCTTCCGGTTATATTAGAAACGCTGTCATTTGGACAGATATCATCAATTACCACATTAGTTTTGGTTTCAGCATTGACATTTACCACATCATCATCAATTGCATGTGTAAATTGCTCCTTTGTAGTTTGCAACCACCTTTCCATTTTATTCATAATTTCTCGATTGCTGTGCATTCATGTTTCAAACCATTCATTTTGTTTTATAACTTCATCCTCTGGTATTATTGGTTTCAGTGCCTCATGCAACTCATTTAATTCCATCATTGTTTTCACAAACATTTCACACATGGATTCCACCTCAGACACATTTTGGCTTGAAAGTATCAATTGTTCAACATCCTTTGTTAATTGATGCAGTTTCTTTATCCTTGAATTCCTTTCATGTTGAATTGATGCTATTTTTAATTCCAATGCTTTAACAGTGAGTTTAGGCTGTCTTTTACCGAGCCCACTCTCTGCATCGCTTTGAGTGGCATGGCGCTTTAGGCCGACTCCCCTCTTGGCTCATTTTGACAGTAAAGAGGTTTTATTTGAGAATTGTCACAGGATTTACCTTTATCCTGATATGCAGTGGTGGCCGGCCCATAGGGGCGCTAGGGACGCCACCCCCCTTCTTCCCACATGTTTGATTGTCATTAAAAATAAAAAATAAATAAAAAAATATATTAAAAAAAATAAAAAATATTTTTATTTTTTATTTTTAATGAACAAGGTAAATATTATATAGTTGGTATCAGTAAAATGTATAATCTACAATAACATCTCGTTTAAAATTGTTTTACGATGTCTAAAGTTACTCATAAGTCACATGTTTGCTGCCTGGCCGCAGCGTGTATCATTACCCTCTCTCGTCCGGGCGGTAAGAAAGGAGCCCTCAGCCAGAGCAGCAGCAGCCAACAAGCTGACTGTTGCTATCTGTATACTATGCCGCCGAAACATAATTTTAGCCAATAAGCGTCGTCAGATCAGATGCTCAAAGGGCGCCCTGTCAGCGCCCTGGCCTGTGTGTGTGTGAGTTGTTTGTACTCGTATCCAAGGTGACGCTACAGTAGTTGGAGGTGGAGACTCCGGTGCTAGTGGATCGCCGGAGCTGTAGTTTAACAATTACATGCTTATTGTAGTTGTAAGGGCAATGCCTGTAGCACCATGGAGCATATGTGTGGGCTGGACCTGTATTTTACAGGAAAGGAGTGAGCAGAGGGTGGAGATGTCGATTCTTGTTCAGTTTTCTTCCTCACCCTCTCAAACTTTGAGTTGCGCGCGCTGCTAAAGAGACGGGCTACCATGGAAATCAAACAATGGTGTAGCTGTATTAAAGTCCGAGTGGAAACAGTCGTGAGTAAATCTGATTTTGTGCAGAATATCTAATACACCTCACTATGAATCCAGAACAATACAACTGCAGGAGTATGGATAAAGTGAGATGTTTACATGCATTTTGAGCAGATTAGTGCAGAATCCAGCAGAGTGGATCGTGCTGTTCATTCTATGTCATCTATATGTAAAAAAAAAAGTCTAAATATTTAAGATAAAGCTTAGAAACAATCTCAATAATTGGCAGCAAAAAGTAACGTTTTTTAATTGGAATAAAATGATACATGTTCTGATAGGAAGTTCTAATATCTTAAGAAAATAGCTGGAATATTACATTTTTTAAAATACAAACTCTTTTGGCTCCTTCCTGTCTTTCTACTGGGTCTTTCTTGGCTTTGTACTGGCTATCTTCTAGCTCTATTTAGGTTTTTGGAGTTTTTTTCTAGCTCTATCCCTGATAATTTTCAGAACCTGAAGGCTCTATACGGACTATCTTCTGGTTCTCTTCTGGATCCATCCACTATCTCTTGTCTCTGTCCAGTGAATTATACTTGTGTTTCTGTAGCAGGTAACGCATACAACTATACTTTCAGCATCATCGGAGCACAAAGAAGAAGCTTGGATGAAACACAGCTGACTTCTAAACAATGAACACCCACAACCTAGAAGAAATAAAGTTGGGCTTTATGAGTTCTAATATTGCAATGCAAACCCATGATGTAATGAAAGTAATTAAGAATAATTTAGTCATTGAATGCTGATTTCAGTAGATTTAATCAAACAAAACATAAACATAATGGACATGGCCTCAACACTGTAACCTCTTTACATTCTGTTGAATTAGTCAATTACTAGCCATATCTTACACATTGCTGTTTTGAATCATTACAATGTGGATAACAGTTGAATTGGATGGTCCATTGTAAAGGTCAGTCCACCTTAAATGAGCAGTGGGTGATCAGCAGGTGAAAGGCAGGACACGGGAACTTGGTCCTGAGGAGATGTAACGATTATTAAACAAGAAATAGTCGAGTCAAGGGGTCAAAGAAATGAACATTTGTGATTATTAGCGAATCGGTTGCAGGTGGGTGAAATCAGGCTTAGGGAGTAACGTATTACATGTAACGGCATTAGGTCATCAGGATACAAAATAGGCAAATGTATTCCCTTACAGTTACAGAAGCAAAAACAATCAGATAACAGGTACATTTATGTTAAACAGGGCTCATTAACAGGATAGCAATGATACAAAACATTTAGAAATAAAAAATAAAACATCAAATCATCCTATATCTCTATATAGAAACTTGGAGCCCTCTATCCAAAATAAAATGGTTCATCAACAGTCAGTGGTTAACGTATACATCAGAAAATCAGTATGACAAAAACATTAAACATATTGTCCACTTATATTGATAAAGATGGAGTTCATTTAAGTCTCATAGGAATATTGTGCAACAATGTTAATCCAGTCAGACAGATTTTTCTCATGTGTGAACTGTCATAAGACTTATTTATTGTCCTCCATCAGCTGAGCTGCTGATTGGAGGCTCTGCCTCTCCATTATCCTCAGTTTGAATTTCATTAAGCTGTGAGGACTGACAACCAACACACTTGTGTCTTTTTAAATCACTACACCATTTAAATCTTTTGTCACAAACATTGCAGCTGTATATTTTCTCTCCTGTGTGGACTCTCATGTGTGCCTTTAAATTTCCACGCTGTGAAAAAGCTTTCTTACAGACTGAGCAGCTGTGTGGTTTCTCTCCTGTGTGGATTCGCATGTGTTTTTTTAAATGTCCACACAATGCAAAATATTTGGTACAAACTGAGCAGCTAAAGGGTTTTTCTCCTGTGTGGATACTCATGTGTCTCTTTAAGTCTATATTTTCTGAAAAAGCTTTCTTACAGACTGAGCAGCTGTGTGGTTTCTCTCCTGTGTGGATTTCCATGTGTCTCTTTAAATCTGTATTCTGTGAAAAAGCTTTCTTACAGACTGAGCAGCTGTGTGGTTTCTCTCCTGTGTGGATTCTCATGTGTCTCTTTAAAACTGTATTCTGTGAAAAAGCTTTCTTACAGACTGAGCAGCTGTGTGGTTTCTCTCCTGTGTGGATTCTCATGTGTGCCTTTAAATGTTCTCTCCGCAAAAAAGCTTTCTCACAAACTGAGCAGCTAAATTGTTTCTCTCCTGTGTGGATTCTCATGTGTGCCTTTACATTCCTACACTGTGAAAAAGCTTTCTTATAGACTGAGCAGCTGAATGGTTTATTTTCAGCACTATGGCTTGAATCACTGACAGATTCATGTCTATTTTTCAGTGAGTTTGTGCCTGACGCAGGTTCTCTGGTCTTTTTCCAATCAGCACTGTCTTCAGTGTCAGGTTCAGAAGAGTCTCCAGTGTCAGGTTCATAAGAGTCTCCAGTGTCAGGTTCAGAAGAGTCTCCAGTGTCGTCCTCAGTCTTTGGTTGTAAACTGCTCTCTGGATCTGAGTTCCTGGCTGGTTCTGGTCCTCGACAGTCATCTCCATCAGCTTCTGTTTCCATGTGTTCAGTTTGTCTTTGATGAGGCCGTGAGGACTGAGGTTTCTCTTTATCATCTTCACTCTTCACAGGGTCAGGAGTAAAAGTGGACTTGGTGATATCAGCCTCCTCCAGCTCCTGAAGCTGCTCTCCCTCCTGACTGATCCTGAGTTCCTCCTGTTCCTGCTTAATGTGTGGGAGGGGCTCTGGGTCCTCCTGGTCCAGACTGGTGCTCCAATCCTGCTGGTCAGGGAGAACCTCTTCTTTAACCACCTCCAGCAGCTGGACATCTGCAGGAAACGGGAAACGCAGTCAGAAAAACTAATCACCATTACAATGGGAGACATTTTGCAGCCCTAATTAATGCCTTTGTTTTTACACTTTCATATCATCTTTCTTAGTCCCACCTATTGTATATTTTTGTTGTCTCAATTCCCCTCATGTAGCCCAACCCCTTTCCACTTCCAGTTAAAAATGAAAAAGATGGTTTTCTTCTGGTTTAGCACTAGCTGCAATGTAAACAATTAATTGTATTTGGCATCGTTAACAGATACACTACGCCTATAGAATGGTAATACTCTATTACTAATAAAAATCCTGCATTCAAACCTTATTTAAGTAAAAGTATGCAAGTATTTACAGAAAAATGTACAGCACCTTCTTATGTAAAAGTAATGATACTGCAATAACATTTTCACCGTCAGTGTTTTATTTATGATGTTTCTTGATTATTTGTCAAAAGTATTAAAGTAAAAACAAAAAGTTATGATATAATACAAAATATAATTAAAAAAATAATAAAAAGTTAAGACAATTTACAAAATACACATCCTGTAACAGTTTTTAGAGTTTAGCAGCCAGGTATATATTGCACAGTTATTAATGGCATAAATATATATTGCACATATAGTACATAGTTGGTTGGTATTCCACCCGTTAAGCCCGGGAGCCCCTGGGGGTGGGGAGATCTCTCTCTTCCACATCTGTGTGTGAGGGGGTGGGGGCGGTTTACACACACGAGGCTGCTACATTCATGCAACACACACACACACGGTGGAGATGGCAGAGAGAACTAAGCGCTCCAAGGTGTGGTTAAACTTTACCCGTGTTGAGGTGGACAATGCTCGTTGCCAAAAGAGCAATAAGAGTTTAGCATTTAAGGACGGTAACACGAGCAATTTATCTAAACATCTTGTAAAAGTGCACCACATTCAGACGGAGAAATGCACCGTTTGACTGTCTTTCTGGTAGCTCTATAGCCCCATCCACGAGTAACGTTTCCACGTCAGGTATATTATGTATGCTAGCAGCAACACACGGAGTGTATACCTTAATCTTCCTCCAGAAGAAACGTTAGGCCTTTTGCAGCATACCTGTATGCCCCACCTGTGTTACTCTTTGCAGTAAATACTTTTTTTATTTTTTTTATTTGTACAGTTCTGTAAGTTCACATTATTTACAATTTGTTTAGTTCATTACCTTTTTTTTCTCAAAAGAACCGATAAGAGTATCGTTAACGGACCAGGTCGATAAGCGGTATCGATAAAAGTAGTATTACCGTTAAAACCTTAACGATACCCATCCCTAATAACAAACTAAATAAAAATGTTAATGCCCTGAAGTCTTCTTCGCTGCTTTTGTGGCTACAGCGCCAGTTACAGGCCTGGCATATCTACTACAGCGTCTCCAGTGCTTTCGAGCGACAATGGCCGGCCGTGGCCCCAACCACATATTCCCATGATAGGTGGAGAGTTGGCTATATAGGCGGAGCTCCTCGTTCCTGACGTCAGAGAATTTTCAAATCTGTATCAGTCTGTATCAGATCCGTTGCAGCCCCGTTTTTAGAGATTTGGGTATGGAGGAAAAGAGAGAAGGTTGTAATTTCTGAGACTTGGTGAGTTCCCTGACACACCAGGGACACATATTCATGTATAAAAGACGTACAAAAGTGCATTTTGCATGATAGGTCACCTTTAAAATAAAAGTAAGCAATACACTACTTCTGAATTCATTATTGAATTGCGTGCATAACAATGCAATTAATCGCAGAAAATCATTTGATTAATCATGATTAAAATGTTTAATCGTTGCCCAGCAATAATAAAAAGTGTTACCAAAGACTTTGACGTGTTACCAATGAGTTTAAAGCAGGGGTGTCCAAACTTTTTTCACCGAGGGCCATATACAAAGGGCCACTCATAGAGGTGAGGTATATCAGCTCATCAGTTAACTTATAAGTTAGCAACATGTAGGTAAATTAGTCTCGATACATTAATATGCTTTAAGAAAAAACCCGCCTACTATACATCACAGCTCTCTATAGGGTTTCATTTATCTTGTTGGCAGCTCATTCCTTAAAAACAGAAGTCTCAGAGTGATTATAATAACATGAAATATGAAGGGTCTATTTCAAGCTTGTTATGTAAGTAAGTTATTAGGCTTTTTTGTATCAACTGTAGAGCCGATGAAAGGGAGTCAGAGGCGGTGTGTTCAGTATGGAACTCCACACTTTATTTTCCCATTAGCATGAAGACAAGGTAAGTACATCTGCTTGCTACTACATGTCAAGCTAGTATGACAACCTACACACGGTACCTTCACTCACTGGTCCGTGTTGCAACACACAATAATACCACAGTGAATTATGTCCCATAATGTGCCCCCACAAAAGGCCCCCCAGAATTCACCCATAAAAAAAGTCTGTGTGGTGAGGAGGAACGACAGGCCGGCCACCACGACTCCTGAGCATGGAAGCCGGGAAAGCAACCCCCATAGGGACGGTCTCCGGAATAGGCGGAACCTGAACAATGGGTTGCCATTCAGTGACAGGCATTAAGGCCGCGGGGCGGCCCCGTCGCGGAGGCCGTGCCAGCCCCACCGGCTGGTCCAAATCCAAGTGGGCAGCCTTCACCTGGTCCACCGAAACGCACTCAGCCTTACCAACCAGGTCGACCACCAGGTTTTTGTCCCCGTGTTCCAAAATCCGGAAAGGTCCATTGTAAGGAGGGCCGTAGGGGACCCCTGTGCGCGTCGTGCCGGATGAAGACGTGCCCCGCCGAGCGAAGATCCGCGGGAACCCGGGACACCTGAGTACCGTGTTGAGCAGTGGGAATCGGTGCAAAGCCTCAGCGGTGTCCTGCAGGCAAACCCACTGGGCCGACGCCGACCAGGGACCGGCGTGTTAGGGAGGAAATCCCCCTGGAACCCTTAGCTTGCTGACCGTAGACCATCTCAGCCATGGAACACTGCAGATCCTCCTTAGGCGCGGTCCGCAGACCCAGTATTACCCAAGGCAGTTTGTCGACCCAATTGCCGTCTTTCAGGCCGGCTCTGAGTGCTGCCTTCATGGAGCGATGGAAACGTTCACAGAGGCCGTTAGACTGAGGGTGATAAGTGGTTGTCCTGTGAAGCTTAACCCGCAAACCACTCGCCACGGCGTTCCAAAGCTCGGACGTGAACTGCGAATACCCGGTCTGAGGAAATGTCAGACGGGGGCCCAAAACGACACACCCACGTCGCAATGAAAGCCTGGGCTATGTCAGCTGCCGATGTTGATACAAGAGGGACCGCCTCCGGCCAACGGGTCGTCCTGTCCACCATGGTAAGGAGATAGGAAAAGCCCTGAGAGGAGGGCAATGGACCCACCACGTCGATGTTGACGTGGTCAAACCTCCTCTCTGGCACCAGGAAACGCTCCAAAGGGGCCTTCGTGTGGCGGTGCACCTTAGCGCGCTGACAAGCCACGCACCAGCCCAAGTCCTCACATCCTTTTTCAGCCCCGCCAGACAAACTTCGCGGCCACCAAGCGCACCAAAGGCTTACCGCCGGGGTGAGACAGGTCGTCCTCAAAAACGGAGCACCTCCAACAGGCGGGAACGACTGGCCGCGGAAGGCCCGTGGAGACGTCGCAAAGGAGAGTATCGTCCGCGTCACCGAAAACCACGTCTTCCAATCGCAGCCAGAGTCCAAGGAGCACTCGGTGAAAAGCGCTGTACCTGCGTTCCCTGGGCGTCAGCTGACGGCTGAAAAAGGCGAGTGGCTGCCAAGCGCCCTCCACACACTGCTCATGCACTGCACCAACGGCGTAGTCCGATGCGTCTGTGGTAATGGAGATGGGAGCCGTGGATGATGGGTGCGCCAACAGGGCCACCTGAGCCTGCGCGGTCTTGACCTCCTTAAAAGCCACCTCAGCATCCGCCGTCCAGTCGATCTCTTGGATGGGGGCCTTACCCTTCAACGCCTCATACAGCGGCCTCATACAGCGGCCGCATAATGTGGGCGGCCCGGGCGATGAAACGGTGGTAGAAAGTCACCATCCCCAGGAACTCACGGAGCGACCGGGCTGTGTGCGTGCGAGGAAACGCCGCAACAGCCTCAACCTTCGCCGGCAGGGGTGCTGCCCCGCCTTTGGCGACGCGGTGTCCGAGGAAAACAATGTCAAACACCCCGAACAGGCACTTTGCAGGATTGATTATCAACCTGTCTTGGCTGAGCCTCGTGAAAAGGGCTCGGCGGTGGGACAGGTGCTCTTCCACCGAAGCGCTGGCGACGAGAATGTCGTCCAGGTAGACGAACACAAACGGCAAGTCCCGCAGCACCGAATCCATCAAGCGCTGGAACGTTTGAGCGGCATTCTTGAGCCCAAAAGGCATCTGCAGGAACTCGAACAACCCAAACGGCGTTATCACTGCTGTCTTGGGAACGTCCAGGGGATGCATGGGCACCTGGTGGTATCCACGCACTAGGTCCACTTTAGAAAACACCAGCGTACCGGTCAGAAAAGTCCTGAATGTGTGGCACCGGGTAGCGGTCAGGTGTCGTGGCGTTGTTGAGACGGCGGTAATCCCCACACGGGCGCCAACGGCCTTACGGCTTGGGAACTATGTGCAGAGGAGAGGCCCAAGGACTGTCAGACCGGCGGATGATACCCAGGCGTTCCATGGTCGAAAACTCCGCCCTCGCTACTGCAAGCTTAGAAGGGTTCAACCGCCGGGCCCTGGTGTAGACTGGGGGACCTTCGGTGGTGACGTGGTGCTCCACCCCATGCTTGGTGGTGAGCGCAGAGAAAGTGGGCTGCGTCAGGTCTGGAAATTCAGCCTAAGAAAACTGTCCGAGCCCGACAGCCTGTCGTATGCCGCCTTGCCAAGTGTACACACAAGGGAGGAAAACGTCAAGGCATCAACCAAGCTTTTATTTTTAACGTGCGCCAGGAGTCCGTGAGCACATACAAAATCTGCCCCGAGGAGGGGAAAATAAATGTCTGAGTCACAAAATCCCAGCTGAACCGCTGTCCTCCAATACACAAACACATAGGCCGTACGTGCGGATGGGGCCGCCATTAGCCGTCGTCAACCGCGGTCCGTGTCCCCCTCGAACGACGTCCTCCCTCGACGCAGGAACCACACTCCGTTGAGCGTCCGTGTCACAAAGAAACAAGCTTCCTGAGACACTGTCGCTAACGAAGAGAAGCCTGTTCATGCCGCCAACGCTCAGGGCCACTACTGAGCGCTGGCTCTCCCGTTTCCCGGAGGTTTGTAACTGCAGGGAGCGATGCACTTCTTCGCCCTGTTCCCGAACCGCGCATGGTAAAAACACTCCTGTGTCCCCACGCCGGCTTGGCACCGTCGCGGCCAGCCCCCCCAAAGCCTTCTTAACTGGTGAGGGGGCACTGAGCGTCACAGCTCACGCCTCTGCACAGGTCTGCTGGGTAGACAGGAAAAAACGGTCGGCCTCTTCAGCCAAGGCGCAGGGTTCAGTAATGGACGTGCTGGCTAGCGCCGTCTGAACCCGGGAAGGCAAGTGCCGCAGGAACGTCTCCTTAAACTAAATCTGGGGATCCTCCCCCGCCAGCAGATTCAGCATTTTCTCCATGAGCTGAGATGGCTTGCTGTCTCCTAGGCCTTGAATGTCAAGAATCTGGCGGGCCCTCTCCTTAGCAGATAAGCTAAATGTCTTAAGGAGAAGGGCCTTAATCGCCTCAAATTTGCCATGGCTTGGGGGATCTGCAATAAATCCAACCAACCTGGACGACGTGGAGCTCCCCAGCGCTGCTACCACGTGAAAATATTTCAGATCCCCGTCACGGACCTGTCGGCAGGCAAAGTTTGCCTCCACGTGTGCGAACTACGCTGCAGCGGCATGCTCCCAAAACTCCGGCAGTTTAATATAAACATCGCGATCAGCCATGTTCATTAAGTCTTCGGAATCACGAAAACGTCAGGGTCACCAGTGTAGAGCCGATGAAAGGGAGTCAGAGGCGGAGTGTTCAGTATGGAACTTTATTTTCCATTAGCATGAAGACAAGGTAAGTGCATCTGCTTGCTACTATATGTCAAGCTAGTATGACAACCTTCACTCACTGGTCCGTGTTGCAACACACAATAATACCACAGTGAATTATGTCCCATAATAATTAATACATTAATACTACTGTGTAATATATGTGTACTGTTGGAGCAAAGCGTGGTCTGAAACCCACCTCGGCTCCGCGTGTCCTTTGATGAGCTGGTCAGATTATAAAAGAAGGAATTCAAAGCACCAGAAATAAAGGTTCATCTGTTTTAATGGTAAAAGACAACAATACACAATACAGAACACTCTGCAACAGTACCAAATACAGAGTGCTCCGGGCTCAATTCCTACCACCGTGTGATATACGTACCACGACAGCCAGTCAGGAAGAGAGCCCCGATTATGAACATAGGGACAGCTTAAATACAAATTATGTGGGAGGATTTGTGTTGGTTGCTCCTCCTCAAATTCCACTTCTGGGCGAGCCCTAGACCGTGAGCTGGTAGTTCTCCATTGGCCAGTTTCACTTCTGGGTGGGACTCTAGGCAATGAGTCAGCAGTTGTTGACTCTGTCTGGTGTGTATGTGTATGTATATGTATATGTATATGTGTATGTGTATGTGTATGTGTATGTGTATGTGTATGTGTATGTGTATGTGTGTGTGTGTGTGTGTGTGTGTGTGTGTGTGAACAAGGATGTCCAGCATATATATAGCCGCTACAATGAACACAAACATATGCAGTATTCCAGAGGCTTGAGCTGTGTGCAAACAAGGACATCCAGCATATATATAGCCACTACAATGAACCCACATATATGCAGCATTCCAGAGGCTTGAGCTGTGTGCAAATAAGGACATCCAGCATATATATAGCCACTACAATGAACCCACACATATGCAGCATTCCAGAGGCTTGAGCTGTGTGCAAATAAGGACATCCAGCATATATATAGCCACTACAATGAACCCACACATATGCAGCATTCCAGAGATCTAAGCTGTCTCCAAATAAGGACATCCCCTTGGCTCACATCTTACTCCAAATACAAAAGTTTTCACTTCTCATATCTCCAGCTTCTTGTTCATATAAACTGCTACAATTAAATACAAAGTAATTAAGTACCCACATATATAAAAACACACTTCTTATCAGGTGACATAATAAAATGAATCTACCAGAAATACGCTGTATTAAACCTTCTGCTGTAACACTTGACTTCAGTACATATATATTTAAGAAGTAGGCCTACAATATAAGAAAAGCACAAGTTTTATTTGTGGGCCATATTTCATTATACTTTTTGAATTAGCTGAGGGTCAATTCAAAATGGCCAACGGACCGCATTGGCCCCCTGGCCGTAGTTTGGACACCCCTGGTTTAAAGTGTTAATTAAGAGTAAAGGGAACATACCTGCTCTGTGTATCCGAAGCTCAGGCTGTAAAACAGCGTCCAGACGTTTCTGGAGTCTCTCGTTCTCCTCTTTGGAAAGAGACAGCTCCTCCTCGAGTTCTGCTATCGTTTTTTCAAACAGAGCAAATATCTCTTCAGCAGCAGCAGTGAGTCGCTGCTTCTTCAACGACAGCAGCATTTGGACTTTACTCATGTTTACTAGATCACCTTTTCCTGCAAACTCCATTAAACACACTGTTTCTCTCTCCATCAAACTCTCAATGTGACTAGTGTTGCTAACGTGTTTCCAGCTAGCATGCTAAGCTAGCTCCTATAGTCCGAGGTAAACGCTCCAGAAAAAAGAGCACAGAGTCCATTCGGAGGTTTATCCAGGCACACAGATGATGGATCAGTAGTGCTGGAGCTCACACACACTTTATCGGGAACACAGAGAGAGAGAACCGTAGCGACGAGATACCACATGGATCCAGGTTAGAAAGAGATTCTTCTTCTTCTTCTCTTTTTTAATGGCGGATCGCAAACAGCTTTTAGTTGCATACCGCCACCTACTGTACATGAGTGTGAATCATCATGTCTTTCCATCTTTAATAAAACAAAATAATACAAATAAAAATAAGAAACCATTAAATAAATAAAACAAAACAAAACAATCATCCATGATCAATTCTAACCTAATGTTAAATTATTTTTCCTACCCCAGTTTCCCTCAGAAAGGTAAACAGTACCTTTCTGGTAGCTCTACTCCCTCTCCTTCTGTTCCCAACATACCAACCACACTCCACTCCCTCTCTGCCTCCATAACTATATCCTTTAGTTTTTGTCTTTCAGCTTTATAGATGTCACAATGTAATAAGATATGTTCTACGTTTTGTTTAACTCCACAGTTCCTACACTTGTCACCGTCACTTTTCCCCATGACATACAGTGTACCATTCAATACTGTGTGATTTAGTCTGAGTCTAGCTATCATGATTTCCTCCCTTCTGTTTCTTTCTTTATAAATATTAATTGTGATACTCTTTGCCTTTCTGGTCGTTCTCCCACCTTTTCTTCCAGATCTCCATCCCTTTCTTCTTAATTATTGCTTTTCCTTCTCCTTTTCCAAGTTGAACTGGTAATGTTATTTCCTTTTGTACTGCACTTTTTGCTAATTTATCATCACACTTGTTCCCTTTCACCCCCTCATATGCAGGCACCCAACAGAACTGAAGATCTATACCGCCTCTGTGAAGTCAATCAATCAATCAATATTTATATAGCCCAATATCACAATGTTATATTTGTCTCAGTAGACTTCACAGTTTGTACAGAATATCAGTATAATAATAATTTCAATTTATATAGCGCCTTTCACGAAACCCAAGGATGCTTTACAATGGGAAGTAACAACAAAAAAAGGAATAATAATCATACAGATACATAGGCTGAAGAAAACAAAACAGGAACAGGTTGCTGGGTACTGCATATTAGTTGAGGCCAAAGGCCTGAGTGAACAGATGGTGTTTGAGGTGTTTTTGGAAGGTGTCTGCATTCCTGATTGCAGAGGGGAGAGAA